TATAGGGTAGAATAATGGCAGTTTTTTTTTCTGTTATTTACCTATTATTCACCCTTTATTCATTTGTTCGACCTGTGTATGATGCTCCTAATTTATCATATTTTTTGGTACCTTGACTATATGCAACTTTAATTACTTCAATTAAAGCTAATTCGATATTTTTGTAGTTAATCATCTTCTGCAATTATTAAATATAGTTTTTATATTAATATAGTAAAAACTTTTGTTTAAAATAAATATTTATTCTTATCATGATAGGTGAATATTCTTGCAACTATTTACTCAAAACTGGAGTTGTTTGTGGGTGAACTTGCTGTCAGCCTAAAGGGTGCTTTGAATATTGGAAGGTTAAAAAGCATATTTCCTACAGAGTTTGTAGCAAGCCAATGAGTTCTGAACCTAGCTTTTGTAGAAAACATGCTAATAGTTATTATGTAACCCAGTATATTAATATGCTTCAAGATAGAACTATGGGGGCTATGATTAGTGTTATGGTCTAAACCCTTTATTGAAGTCCAAAACATTTCGGCTTTTGAGTTTCGGTTTCACCCCAAATCTGAAACTGGACGAAATGTCTGAAACTGAGCGAAATGTCTGAAACTGGTCGAAATGTCTGAAACTGGGCAAAACTTCTGAAACTGGGTGAAATGTCTGAAACTGGGCGAAACCTCTGAAACTGGGTGAAATGTCTGAAACATCTGAAACTAAGCGAAACTAGGCGAAACTGGGAGAAACTTGATCAAAATTAACATATTATGTAACGCAGACTTCTATGCAACGATTTTTTTAAAGTCACATGACCGCTGCATTTAAAATCGACCAATGGAATTTCTAAAAATTCCATTGGTCAATATTAGGTGCAACGGTCATGTGACTTTTGGGAATTTCATTGGTCAATTTTATGTGTAATAGTCACATGACATTTAGAAATTCCATTGATCAAATTTAAGTGCAGAGGTCATGTGACTTTTAAAATCATCGTATCGAAGTCTGAGTCATGTGATATGTTAATTTTGATAGGGATAAGATGACGTTTCACCTAGTTTCACCTAGTTTCGGATGTTTCACCTAGTTTCGGATGTTTCACCCAGTTTTGGACATTTTGCTCAGTTTTGGACATTTCGCACAGTTTCAGAAGTTTCACCTAGTTTTAGACATTTCACCCAGTTTTGGATGTTTTGCCCAGTTTCAGACATTTCGCCCAGTTTTGGATGTTTCACCCAGTTTCGGACTTTGCACCATAGTCGAAACTAGGTTTCAGAGGTTTTGGAAGTTTCGCCTGGCCGAAAGTTTCGGTTTAGGCTGTAACTAGTGTTATGGTCTAAACCCTTTATCGAAGTCCGAAACGTTTCAGCTTTTGAGTTTCGGTTTCGGCCCAAATACGAAACTGGATGAAACATCTGAAACGGGGCGAAATGTCCAAAACTGGGTGAAACTTCTAAAACTGGGCAAAACCTTCAAAACTGGACGAAACCTCTGAAACTGGGCAAAACCTCCAAAACTGGGCGAAATGTCCGAAACATCTGAAACTGGGCAAAACTGGGCGAAACATGATCAAAATTAACATATTAAATGATGCAGACTTCTATGCAACGATTTTTTAAAGTCATGTGACCATTGCATTTAAAATTGACCAATGGAATTTCTAAAAATCCCATTGGTCAACATTAGGTGCAGCAGTCACGTGACTTTTGGAAATTTCATTGGTCAATTTTATGTGTGACAGTCACATGACATTTAGAAATTCTATTGGTCAAATTTAAGTGCAGAGGTCATGTGACTTTTAAAATCATTATATCAAAGTCTGAGTCACGTGATATGTTAATTTTGATAGAGATAAGATCACGTTTCACCTAGTTTCACCCAGTTTCAGACATTTCAGATGTTTCACCTAGTTTCAGAGGTTTTGCTCAGTTTCAGACATTTTGCCCAGTTTTGGATGTTTTGCCCAGTTTCGAAAATTTCACCCAGTTTTGGACATTTTGCCTAGTTTTAGATGTTTCTCCTAGTTTCGGACTTGGCACCTTGGGTGAAACTAGGTTTCGGAGGTTTCGGAAGTTTTGCCTGGCCGAAAGTTTCAGTTTAGGCCATAACACTAGCTATGATACAAGGATTTGGAAATCAGATTGCTTTTAAAAATTTAAACCATCCTCTTACTTATGAGCAACTTATAAATAGATATAGAGATCAGCTTACAAAACTTAATATTTCACTTTGTCAAGAATGTTTTATCCCAATTGGATTAGAAGAAGAAGAACATTGTAATGAATACATATCCTTATAAATTTTGAGATAGGGCTATGGCTACTAGACAAAAAATTTGACTCACAAAGTGAGAAGGCTTTACCTCTATGCTAATCTTTTTTGAAAAAATTTACTCTGTCAAGACCTTTAGAAAATAGCCTAACATAATTTTTTTACATCTAGCCTAAAAAAATTTATATCTATCCTAAAAAATTTACACCTATTCTATTTTTTTATATTAGGATTACAATCAAAAAGGCATTCAAAAGCAAGAAAACAAATTAGTGAACTTAAGATTAACAAGCTTTGAAAAGATAAAAAAACAAATTAGCAAACTTAAAGTTAACAAAAGTTTAGATAAGTAAGAAAACAAATTAACAATCTCAATGAGAAGAAGGCATTAGAATTCAATCCTCATATATAAAAATTTATACCATGATTATAGAGCTTTTAATCTAATTCTAAAGCCAAGTAGAGTAGCAAAAAATAATATATTTTTTATATATAATAGTGAATCCCATAAGGCTCATAAGAACAATCCAGTAGTATTTTTTTACACGTATAAGTCTGCTTGTGCTCTCTGCTACTAATAATCATTTTTCTGAGATGATTACAATATCTACTCCTAACAGTAGACAGAATAGTATACCAAAGTATGATTAATAAAGAGTTAAAGATAGAATGTGAAATTAATAACATAGTTAATTTACAGATCATATGATCAATTATGATGTAATTAATTTAAGTCAAATAAGATATATAAGAAAAGTGAAATTAATAAAGAAAAAGAGAAATAAGTTTTGAGTAACAAAGAAAAAACCAATAAAGAGCAAATATATAAGTAAATAATCTGAATATACTCTTCTTAATAATCATGTTTGAATCATCTTGAGCTGAGTTTATAGAGTGCTTATTGCTTGAGCTAGCTTGTTCAGTGATGCAAGTCATTGTTTAACCTGTGACTCATTATATGATGAATGTTATGTTGAATGCATATCGATATATGAAAGTTGTAAAATTAACTAATTAGCAATTTTAGTCATTAGCCACATCAATCAGTGAAATCTATATAAAAAAAAACAAAATAATTATTAAAGCATTTTTTTCAAATAAAGAAATTATAAAAACATTAAAAATGATTAAAACTTGATAAATATGTATGAGGAATTGATTTTTAGAGAATAATTTAATAGTAATAATTATACTATTATTAATATTAACATATATTAGAAGCACTATTGAGAACAACTAATGCACAATATTAAGAAACAGGTTATAGTAATAGATATTGGTAGAGGGTTATAGAAGTAGGTATTAAGAATACATATATATATGTAGCAGGTCACATTCAGTATTGAGAATAGGTATCAGGAGCTCAGTATCAGAAGTAAGTATTGAGTGATAAAAATATCTGAAAAAAATTTGTTGTTTTCTGAAAACATAAATTTTAGGTTTTTGAAAAATTTTAGAGTTCTCAAAAATTTTCAAAAAATTTTTTTATAATAACAATTACTAATTTTACATTCTTAAATGAGAATATAATATATCAGGCAGTATGAACCCAAGATAAATCCTTAGGCCATGTAAATCAAGGGAACCAGGTAGAAAGATGGAAGCCCACTTGGAAGACCTGAGTAGAGAGGTAATCCAAACCTTCGACAGTGTTACTGTAAAGACTAGACTTATAAAACAGAGCTAGAACTTGTGAAACCGAGCAAATGTGCTGGTCTTTGAAGAGAGACTGGATGAACCAACCAGGCTGCCAGAATTTCCAGATTCTAGAGAAAAAGGGCACATGCCAGCAAACATGTGAACCAGAGGTGTATAGTTTTGACCTACCTTTCCGGGCTATCTGAAATGGCAGCTTGGTGAAACTTGAATTGAATATCAAAGTAGTAAGGATATGTTGTGAAGTCAGTACTAGAATTGGAGTGAACTCTACAAGGGCATAACAGTTTAATAGTATGCTCTAACTGCAAGTGTTGGTCTTGGCCATAGCGATACCAGGTTAGCTGTAAGAATAGGATACAGAAAATTCTAAAAGTTTTAGTACAAGGTCAAAGGTTCTCCATATAAGTGAACTGCTTTAAAGACTTAGTGACCATGGCATATTTGAACTGGTATTGACTGGGCATCTTGGTAGATGTAGGTAGATAGGTAGATATGGAAACAGAGTAGTTAAATAGAGAATCTACAAGTAGGTTTTAGGTATAGCAGCTAATGTAGAACCTTCGGGTAAACTACTTAAATTAGACAATGACTAAAGTTGTATAAGTGGCTAGTTGTATACTCTTTTTATAGTTGCCCTCTGTAGTTGTAAAGCAACTATTAGCTAAATGTACTATTAATAAAATCCTGGGTCACAAGTACTCACCTTAATATTTAAAAAAAATAAATAAAATAAAAAAGAGACAATAAATAAAAACATTGATATAGAATAGATACAAATAAACAAAACACAAAATTGGTCAGAAAAAAAAGTAGCATTAGAGGTGAAAAGATAGCCAATATCAACTACAGCAAAGTTATTAACAATATAACTAGCAATTTTAACTATACCAAAAAAAAAAAGATCAAAAATATTTATAGATACTAATATTGCAATTAGAAATATTAGTAAAGAGTTAAAATATATAGATAAAAAAGGGGTGTAGCAACCTAATGAAGTGGATAGGTTGTCAACTCCCAAGTGGCAGGTCCAGAGTTCAAATCCTAGTGATAGCAAAAATTTGCAATTCTTTCTGTATTACAGCTAACTGTCTTCTGTGATTAGTTGAGATAGGATACCTTTAACCCATGTCATATCAGCATGACTGGAAGGTCTAGACACTCGTACAACATTGTACAAGGGAACACAAAGCAGTACCAGGCAGTGTAAACCCAAGATAAGTCCTTAGGCTGTATAAATCACAGAAACCAGATAGGAAGATAGAAGCTTACTTGGAAGACCTAAGTAGAAAGATAACCTAAACCTTTGATGGTACTACTATAAAGACTAAACTTATGAAACAGAGCTAGAACTTGTAAAACTAGGCAAATGTGCTAGCCTTTAAGAAGAGACTAGATGAACCAACCAGATCGCTGGAATTTCTAGGTTCTGGAAGAAAAGGACATATACCAGCAAACATATGAACTAGAAGTGTATA